GGGGCTGTCAGACAGAAAGCGCTGGGAGCCCCTGGCCCACAGCCTCTCCCAATAAGAGACACCCCAGAAACAGCCCGTGTGTGAGAGACAGTGGGACTGTGGGCACGGGCAAGTGGGTGATCGTGCTCTGTGCACGGGAGGGAGCGAGCGAGCCTCCGTGCGCAGTCTGGCTTTCAGACATGGCTTAATTTCTGAAGATTCTTTCCAAGCTCCAAGCCAAAGCCCTGAGATCAAGTGGGAAATATGCATTCCTCGGGGGCTTGGGGAGAGCGTTCGGGGTCTGAGGCCTCTCCCCAGTGCTGTGAATCACTGCACAGGGAGCCTGTGGGATCGCTCTGTTCTAGGGGGAGGCTGGCACTCATTGTCTGGGTATTCAGATGAAAGCTACATGGAGCTGCTTCACTCCTCACTCATTCCTGACTCCAGAGACCCACTGCTGCCATTTCCACACACTGCACGGCTGGGATTCGGGGGGGGTGAGGGAAGTGGTGCAAAAACGGAACATCAAACAGGAAAAGCTGGTATTCCATCCCGAAATCCGCTTTCCTGCTTCCAAACCAAACAGGCTTCAAAGGGGAGGCTTGTTTGTGCTTCTGCACCAGGCCTGGCTTCTCCATGGCAGGGTCAGGCTCGAGGAGCATGGAGCAGGTTAAAGAGCAAGAGAAACAAAGTGAATGGAAAGCTGCACACTTAACCCCTTGCTGCATCCCGGGGGTGCAGGATTCTGTGCAGCCTGCAATCCGAGCGCCTCTGCTGTTAGGGGAATGCTGTGCCTCCCGCTCCCGTACCTGGGGGCCAGCGCAGCTCCCTCCGCCAGGGGTTCACACTGACCAGGGCACAGATTTTATAATTAATTCACAGGCCTTTGTGTGCGTGGGAGAAATCAACCTAAGTCCAGCACAGCCACAGATGTTGCTGCTTCGGCATGCTTTACTAACAGCCAGCAAGGAGATCTGGCAGCCTCGTGGGGGTGAGGCCCCATCAGCCCCACTAACATGGGGGAAACTGAGGCACAAATGGGAAAGTGGTGTCAGAGCCAGGCTTAGACTCCAGAAGCTCAGGCTACGCTGCTTCTCTTGTGGCTGCAGGCAGCTGGAGCCAAGCAGTGCCCACAGCATCCTAGATCCCCAGTGACTGACTGGGCTGTGGTTGTAGGGCAGGAGCTCCTCCGGCAGGGTGGGGACACTGGGTTTCTAGTCCTCTGGTTGGAGCTTGGGGTTACCCAGCTTCAATCAAACCACACGAGAGCTGAAGGGAGGATGCCAACATTCTCAGGTGCTGTTAGCGGGGGTCGCACAACCCCCCAGGGCTCTGTAAGCTCTGCTGGGGCTGACAGCTTCCTTCCCTTTGCTTCCAAAGCCCTGGAGCTGGAATGCCGAGCTGCTGCGCACCCTAGGGTTCCCATGCTGAGCTGGGCAGCCAGCCAGCTCACTCAGCCAGGTGATGGATCCCCCTCTGCCGTAACCAGGAATCCTCCCCCAGGACAGGAATTCCTGCTCTACTGCCTGGTGCTGACGATGGCCCTCCATGCATTGCCGAGTGAGCAGGAGGCCACGGCATCTTCCTGGTGACAGAGCTCGAGCTATGGAATTCCTTCGGGTGCCCATGGGTCCCTGGATCTCACTACTGCCCTGCACCCTACAGGGACACCTGTCTCGCAAACACGAGGCCGAGAGAGGAATGCCCCTCCCGGCCCTCATGGCAGCAGGGGCCCAGGCCCGCAATCCTCCATTCCCAAGTGCACTATGCCAAAGTGTTTCACACAGGTATGCTTGTCCCACTGCCCACATGCTACATGGAGTCCTGCTCATTTAGACTGGGACAGACCCAGGCAAGAGGTGCTAGGGCCCCAAGGCTGGGAACTGAGGCAGGGACAGGCAGCTCTCTGGGGCACTGGCCTGGAGATGCTTAGCTCTGGTCCTGATTCTGCGTCCCTCCAGGAATTCTCTGCGCTGCAGGCTAGTACTGCCCGGGACTCGGGCTACCTCCACGGGGGCTCCAGTTCTGCAGCCCTAGAGCAAGCCGGGCCAGAGGGACGATACCTCGACCCCAGGGTGTGATCGGATCATCAGAGCGAAGGCAGCTAACCAAACCTTCCGCCGCCCTGGGAGACCACCCAGCAGCAGAGCCGCTATCTGCCAGGCGAGTGTTTCCCAATAACGGGAACCAGCTTGGGTTTTACTGCAAGCTTTATAAGGAGAAAAAGAAGGGCTGGGCTTCGCTGGGACACAGGCTGGCCATTTACTCCGGCTGCCTAAGCCCCAGCTCAGCCAGGCTAAGCTGTCTGCTTGGATTGTTTAACAATTCCCCCACCCTGTTCCTTTCCCTCCAAATCCCGTTTAACACCCTCCCGCCTCCCACAGACCTGTGCCCTGTGGGAAGGGAGCCAACAGTGACAGGGACCAGAAGAGTGTCTGCAAGAGACCCGCTAAAGGGCACGTGGCTCCCATGGGTGAACCCTGGCCCACCCCGTCCCGCCCAGCACCAATGGCAAGAACTCACGTGGGATCATCTGCTGGCTCATGAACACAGTTATCCATCACGCTGCCCACCACTAGCCAAGGCACCGCAAGACAGCAACAGACCACACAAGTAACTATGGGGCCATGCGGGATGGAGGGGGTCAGCCTGCCGAGGGCTCCACATGGGAGGCTAGGACCTGCCCAGCTGGAGGGGCAGCACCCACTGCAGGTAGCAGCAAGGGGGGAGGGAGCATGCACCTCGGCCTGGCCTTACTCACCAATCAGGGGCACCACCAGGATGAACTTCCGCCACTCCAGCAGCTTCTTCAGGCTATTCAGATGGTCGATGAAGCCGTTGGTGTCTGGCACCAGGAAGACAGGTCTGATCTCCAGCTCCATCTGCCGCATCTGGCTCTGATCCTTCAGCACAGCCTGTAAGAGCCCAGAGCGAAGAGTGAGCAGGAGGCCTCGCCACAGCAAGTCCCCGACCTGGCGCATCCCCCAAGCTCCAATTCTGAACCCCCTGGTCAGAGCCTCCAAACTCCTGGGCCAGAGAGAGCTAATGGGACTTCCAGCAGGGAGCCGTCCCCCACCCCCCAGCACCTCCCCAGGGCTGTACGCAGAGCACTTCTCAGAGCTTGCACTGCTGACACTCAGGCAGTTTTTGTACCAGTGTAACTATGCCCGGGAGGGGTGAGATTTCTTACCAACACAGCTCCACTGGGACAGTCCCGTGTCTGGACACAGACAGGCTGGTATAAAGGTGCCTTCTGCTGGTGTAGATTATTCCTGCTCCTGGACAGGAATAGCTCCACTGGTATAAGCACTTTTAAACCATACATCTGCACCAGCACAGAGAGGTTGGGTGGTTCCCAGTTAATTCTGCACCCACTAAGGTGTAGCTGGTGCTCCAGTGGGCAGGGCCCTTGCAGGGAGCGCAGGTGGGCGAGGGGCCTAGAGAGGGCTTGGATGTGCTATGCAGTATGGCAGCTGCTGCAAGCTGCTCTGAATGTCGGTGTGGGAGAAGGGCAGTGAGACAGCCACATTCAGAATTCAGACTAGTGCCAGGGGACTGCAGGGAGAGAAGCTCCCAGGCAGTGGCTGGCACCATGACATTCTGCATGCTGTGTAGAACATGCCCCCTGTGGCAAGGGCATCCCCCGCTCCCCCTCACCTGGGAACAGACGGGTTAAGTGCAGGGGACAGGTCAGGCCCCACTGGATAGCGGGTTTCAGGGTTACTGTGGGAGGCTGTCTGAACACACAGATCACTCCCCATATGAGACCCTGTGTGCGTATGCACATGGGTGATGCCAGGCCCGAGACCCTGCGTGGGACTCCGTGTACATGCCCAGTGTGCAGGTGACCCAGTCTGCGCGCCCCCTTGCATGTGGCATTTACCATCCCAGCTCTCACAGACTGTACCCATCAGACTCCTGGCAGCTGTGAGCAGGGCCTGTGCTGGTCGTCACGTCCCATTCCGCTCCCCGGGCCGCCCGGTGAGAGGAGGACACAGGATGCGCAGGGAGTGAAAGAGCGAGGTTGTGGGGAGTGTGCCAAGTCCCCTCGCAGCTCCAGGACGCTCAGGGAGCCAGAGGGAAATTCGCCTTTGCAGAGTTCAGAGGCCGGCAGCGAGATTTATTTTTGTTTGTGTGAGTAAAAGGCTGCAGAAGCCTCTGGCCAAGGGGACATGGGGGGAGGGGGGAGTGGCCTGTGATTCATACAGCCTCTCACTGGCCTTGTGCCAAAGACGGAAGAGAGCCTGTGTGCAGAACTGAGGCAGGAGCCACATTAACTCTTCCGCTGGTACTGAGGACATGGGAGCCTGCACCATGGTCATGAGGAAGAGAAACTGGACTGGGAGTTAGGATCCCGGGCTTCTATTCCTGTGATGTGTAACTCTGGGAAACCACTTTATCTCTCCAGGCCTCAGTTTCCCCATCACTAGAATGGGGACGATGGCCCTTCCCCATGAGCTGGGAGGCCAGGCTGTGTGTGAAGCCCCGGGAATCATGAAGGACCACAGAGTATTAGCAGCATTGGAGTAACAGCTGGTGCTGCATGAGATGGACTTTGGGGCCCTGGTTCCCAGTGGGTGAGGCCAGCCTGGCTCCAACCCTGAGCTCTTAGGGCAAGAGGAAGCGAGCGCTCCAGGCCTCTCTGGCAGACGGTGCAGTGGCTCATTTACATGGCAGAGGAGCTGTTGGAAAGGAGGGTAGCTGAGGACCAGGCAGCCCTCCACATCCTCTGCCAGCCCATGGCCTGGAGCCACGGCTTCTGCCCTGCACTCTGCCCCAATGGGATACTCTAGGCTGGTCTGCAGCCAACTCCTCACGGCACTCAGCCCACGGGCCCAGGGAGTGCGAGGGGCTGGTAAGGGGGGTGGATCTTTCAGCTGCCCCAGCTGGTGACAGCACAGAAATCAGGCACTTCTGAACACATTGGAGCCCCAAATTCCCTCCATATCAGCACCAGCTGGACCCCCTGGGGACTGTGCCAGTGCCTCCTGTCTGGAAAGGGAGCCAGCCACGAGCAGAGCCATGGTGCAGCCTGTGTAGGGCCTGGAGGGCCCCATGCTGGGCAGTACCCATCACAATGCAGACTGAGGGGCTCCGATGGACCCTGCTCACGGAGCGCCATGTCTGGGCAGAGAGGCCCCAAGACAGCCCTGGGAAGCGACGAATAGTGTGCCCGCTGTGGGAGGAGTCCCTGGCACACCGCTCCCCATGGGGCTGTTAGCAGTACGACAGTCCCTCCACCAGCCCCCCTGTCCCGGCCGGGGCGCCGACGCCATTCCCGCTCTTGTCCACTCGGGCTTTGTCTGCTCCGTGGGGATACAGGCGGATTTTCCAAGGGACCGAGAACAATGCCTGTTACTAGACTTTGCTCCAGGGTTTCCTAGTTCCAAGGTTTGTCGGCAGCGTCTTCCTCAGGAGTAAACGTGCCCCGTGCCTGGTAGGGAGCTGGGGCCGCCGCCGCGGTGGAGCCGCCGGGGGTGGGTGTACTCCTTCCGCAGCCAGCAGGCACCCGCTCCCCGGCAGGTGCGTGTCAGCGCGTGTGCACCCGCCGCATTGTTCCTCAATGGAAAGCGTGAATGGGATGTGGCTATATTTAGAAAGTTACTCACGCAGCCGCCACAAAGGAGCGGCTGCATCTTAAGGGGGCGGCCGCTGTGTGTGCTGAAGGGGACAGGAGTGAGGCTATTTTGGGAAGACATGTCATAATTGGCTGCCCAGCTAAGCTGCTTCTGTAATGTCGAGCAAAACAATAGCAGCATCCAGAGGAAGAGCCTGTTATGGTTCAGGTGGGATGTTTTTGGCGGTTCAGGAAACCTGACCGCTCCCAGTGCACAGCAGTGGCACAAAGGACAGCATGGACCACGGGCTCGGCCAAGGGGCGGGGGAGGCTGGGAACCCAGGCGGCAGCCAGCGCTTCCTAAGAAAGAACATGGCTGCCTGGGAGGGGCCCAGCTGCCATACACGAGTTAGAATTACCACCCCGCACACCCCAGATGGGGCACCAGGGCTCTTCCCAGCAGGGAGTGTCCCTGCCTCTCACCCCCATGCCCACTGCAGTCTGACCAACTCCTGCTGGGGGACACGGGGAAGGGGAAATGGAGACGTCTGGGCTGGGTCCTAGGATGTGCAGAGGGAAGCCTGGGCCCAGCACACTGGGAGAGGAGCAGCGAATCTCTGGCCGGTGGGATCGGTCTGAGAGGGCCACGAGTGCCCAAAGGAGCTCCTGGCCGAGGGCTGAGGTCTAGATCTACCCCTCCCCTCCCCACCCCAGCCACCTCCCTGCACTGGACGCTGCTCTACTCACGCTCTTCTAGGAGAGCTGAACGCTGCTCCCCGGCCCCAGGCCCAGCTGCTTGCACCTTCCCCAGAGCTGGAGCTAGAGTGTGACAAGAAATAAACCTCCTGCCCTGTGGGAGTCCCACTTCCCCGACAAGAGAACTGGGGGCCCCAGGTCCGAGGGGTGCAAAGGACCTTTGATGCGTCTATGCCAGTGTATGAGAAGAATATAAGAGCTCAAAAAGCTGAACTCAGCCGTGCGGCTCTAAGTTTAAACACAGCAGCATTTCTGCTGGCTGGGAGCAAAGGGGAGGAGTGGGCAGACATACCAGCTGGGATAAATGGCAGGAAATGGGTGAAGGGGGCACCAGGACTCTGCCCCTGCAGGGAAGGCGGGCCAAGGGGACGCCAGCCCAGGGCAGAGAGAACAGGCTATGAAATGTACAGGTAGACAGAGCTGAAAGTCTATGCCCTCTGGCTCCTGCTCCAACCCCTCCTGCACCAGGGGCACAGGCCTTCAAAGGGAAGGAGAGCGCTTCAGGCCACGCTCCTCTCCCTCCCGGGCAATGGAACAGGAGTCAGGCCCTTCGAGCACGCAGAGGCTAATGGGGCCAGGAGCGCCAGGCACCGTTACCTAAAGAACAATGACCTAAAGGGAGTGCCGGGGACATGGGCTCTGGGTGTCACACAAACGACTGCACTCCACTGCATTCGGTGGGCTCGGACACCGGCCCTGTCGTGTGCGACACAGCTGACTAAGGGATCTGAAGCAATGGCAATGGCCAGTAGCCAACTCGGCGCACATGCCTAAGGGTCCTATGGGGCTTGGGGCGACCGAGGGTGGGGAGTCCTGCCACCTGCCGGCAGCCATGATGGGAGATGGGGAGCACGGCAGAGGACACGGATAGCAGGAATGGGCAGGAAGGGCCGGAAGATTCAGCTGGGAAGAATGCAGCTAATCCAGCTGGGTGGGGAGAGCGAATCCGCCTCGGGGGGAGGACAGAACCTGGGGCTGGCAGACCCAGCCTGAGGGGCGAGGTGGACAGGGCTGGCAAGAGCAGAGGCAAAGGAGACGGGTGGGGTTTGGGGCTGCATGCACAGAGCAGGGAGGGGAGAACCCCTCTCCACAGGACTGCTGAGTCTGCTCCTGGAATGCTGCACTCCCTCCTGGGCACCACAGAGCCTGACAAGCTGCAGGAAGCTCAGCGAAGAGCACGGAAACCAGCCAGCGAGCTGAAGGGACTGAGCGATGGGGAAAGGGAGAGAGCGCGGACAGCTCAGTGGCCAGGGCACTAACCTGCAAGGTGGGCTCAACTCCCTGCCCACCACAGATTCCCTGTGACCCTGGGCAAGTCCCTCAGGATCCGTCTAACATTGCAATAACCCCCCGTGGCCCCGAGTCTCAGAGCCCAGGTCAGTTAACTGCAGCGTAGCTGGTTGGGCTTGGGCTGGAACCTGGGCTCTGAGACCCCGCCCTTCCCGTGGGGTTCAGAACCCAGGCTCCAGCCTGAGCCCAAATGTCTACACTGCAATCCGAGTCAGCTGACCTGGGCTAGCTGTGGCCATGCCGCTGGTCTTTCACTGCAGCGTAGACACTCCCTAAGTCCCTTTGGGCCTCAGTTCCCCTCTGTCGCGTGGGGATAAAGGTCGTGCCTGCCCTGCCTCTGTGAGTTCAGACACATTAAAGACTGCGAGGTGCCAGGGCTGGCGCAACCCATTAGGCGACCTAGGCGGTCGCTGTGATTTAGGGGGCGGCGACCGCAGCGGCATTTCGGGACGGGACCTTCCGCTGCCTAGGGCGGCAGAAAAGTTGGCGGCACTCCTGCGAGGTGCCCAGACACTACTTCAGTGAAGGGGGCCGTATCTACCTCAGCAAGGCAGACTGAAAGCTGCCGGCCTAGGGACAGGTCGGGAGACAGCTCCACTCTTCTCACGGAGGGGGAGGCAAGCTTTAGAAGGGGCCTGGAGAAATGGGATGCAATCAAGGACAGTGTCGGCTGAGTCTCAGGAGCAAACCGAGCCTGGCTGCGGAGTCTCCCAAGAGAAGGCTCAGAACCCCACTGCTCCAGACAGCCAACACTAGGTAGATGAAACGCTGGTGAAACTCAGTCCCCTCCTGCTCCCTAGCGAGTCCAATTCCCTGCCTCAGGCTGTCGGTCAGCACCCACTGCAGCATGAAGGCTGGGGCCCTCCACATGTGCTGCTCCATTCTCTTCCCGGCCAACGCTGGGCTGAATTACTGTACTCAAACCCCAACGAGCTCTCCTCCATTCCTGAAAATCAGGCTCCCAGCTGCACAGCCCCGACATAGCACACGCCCTCATGCTGACCTCCAGCCGGCTCCAGGCCCCGGCCCCATGCAGCTCTGGAAGAAGGGAGGAGTGCACTGGAAAGAAACCCCATGACACCCTCCGGCAGCCCCCAGCTCTCCCTGTGCAATGGGAAGTGGAGACCCTGGGGCAGCCAGGGAAGCCGTACACAGATGCAGAGAAGGGCTAGCGGCCTGGTCGGGCTCTGCAAGCACTGCCATCCCTGAACACGTGCAGTTCCTGTTTGCTGTGTCTGAACACGGCGCTGGGAAGTGGGGAATTTACTGACACCTCCCACTTAACAACCCTGGGCGGCTGGAAGGCTTCAGGCCGCTGTAATTTACAGCCCCTCTCTCCAATCTCCATCTCACTTGCTGCTGCTTTCCTTGTAGCAGATCCCTGCCAGCAGCAATGGGCTGGTTAATGCAGGGCCGTCCCTCCCTCCTTGCACAATTCCAACCTGCACCTCAAGAGGGATTTGTAAAAAAGGGGAAACATCCAGAAAGGTTGGGGTGGGTTTGGAAGTGCAGTGCAGTGGTTCTGGGCCCCCAGCCAATAGCTGGAGGGTACACATGTGTGCGCTCTCCCAGTAGGGCCTTCAGCGGCCCTGTTTTACAACCACCTCGGCACAGACTGCAGAGTTCACGCATCTGGCCAGACAGATGTGTCTGGCTTACGTTCAAGGCTGGAAAATGAAGAATTATGGAAGTGAAGGGCCCTGGGCATTAGAGAGGGCGGAGGTGAGGGGGAGGGGGAACCAGGGAGAATTTTCCTCTGCTGAGAAATCCTCATCTGGGCTGCGAGGGTGGAGGAGAAAGAGGGGCCAGAGAAAGCAAAGTGGCCAATAGCCATGCACGTGGGCTTGCTCTTAAAGGGCCAGTGTGCTCACAACCAGGGCCCAGCTCCAAATCCAGCCAGCTTAGTTCACAAGATACCACTGGGGAAAGCTCTAGGAACTCAATGGGGCTAGAGTAAGAGAACCTCTAGCTGGCTGCTGGTGTTGCCATAGTGATGCTTTGGTTACAGCCATGGGGCAGCATCTCTCTATGGGGGCTCTTGAATTGACTGCGGAGACCCCCCCAGGGTGGAAATGCAGAGGCACATCGCGAGGCCTGGCTGTGCAGATCCCTGACCCTGCACAGTGCCACCTGGCCTAGCTTGCCCTGGCTGCTCCCGGGTTTCTGACAGGTTTGCATTCACCTTGGCCTGGCCCCTTTCTTCTGAAGCCAATGGAGGCTTTTCCACTCTCTCCCATGTGACCCGGAAGGAAAGCTCAGGCTTCTGCGAGACTCCCCAATAGCTCCCTGACACAGCAGGGAGAACAGCTGAATCCAACCTCCCAGCGACGCTCCCACTGTCCCAGGCGCGCTGGTTCGCTCGCCACGGCTGCCCTACCTGAATCTTGTCCCGACGACGCTGCTGCTCAGCTACTTTCCTGGCCAGTGCTTGCTTCCTGGCTCTGAGTTCCCTGATGTCAAACTCTTCTCCACTGACGTCAGCCTCAGAATCATCTTCAAACGCCTCAATCCTCAAGTCATCCTCCTTCTTACAGGAAATCCAGACAAACCAGAACAGGAGAATTTATTATAGGTGAGAGTCAGCAACACTGAATGCCCCTCCCCAGCACACAAAGCCCCCAGCCGCTCTGACACTCCCAAGGGAAATGACCCTCCTCCGCATCTACCGTTAGTTAACACAACGGGGCTGAGTGACACCAGAAAGGCCAGGAAATCCAGAGCTGAGGCTTAGAGTAAGTGTGGTGGTTAAAGCACCGGTCTGCATTCAATTCCAGGCTCTGTCAGACTCCTGGTGTGACCCTGGACAAGTTATTTAACCTCTGCGAATGGGGAGAATGCAGCTGCCTTTCGCCCACCCTTCCTCTGCCTTGTCTATTTAGACTGTAATCTCTCTGGGGCAGAGACTGCGTCCTATCATGTGTCTACCAATGGGCCCCACCTGCAGCTGAGACCTCTCAGTACTACCATAACACAAGTAAAAACTCAATAAAGGCTGGAAACACAAACTGAGCCTTCTGCAACTAGAGAAGGGAACTTAGATTTCTGGATTCCAAGGCCAGAGGGACCATTAGATTGTCTGGTCTGCCCTCCTGTGTAACTCAGGCCAGAGACCTGTCCCCAGCGCTCCATGCATCACACCCATCCTTTCTGCCTGCACCACAGCAGATCTTTGGGAAAGGGAAGTCCAATCTGGATTTAAACACTCCAAGTGTGGAGAATCCACCCATCCCTCGGTGAGCTGTTACCCTCACTCTGAAACACTGGCACCTCATTTCCAGTCTGACTTTGGTTTCAGCTCCCAGCCCCTGGGTCTCGTTCAGCCTTTGTCTGCTGGACTGAGGAGCCCCCTCCGCTCACAGATCTTCCTCCAGGTGGGTATTTACAGACCATGATCAAGTCACCTCTTCCTCTTCTCTTGGCTAGCACTGGCTGAGCGTCTCTCCCTTCACCGGAAGGCAGGTTTTCCAGACCTCGAATGACTGCAGCTCATTTCTGAGCCCTTCCAGCTGGCCCACGTCCTTTCTGAAGTGTGGACACCAGCACTGAGCACCACCCCCGTAACCGTCTCCCACAGGCCGGATGCAGTGGGGACACCTCCCTCCTCCTGCTCCACAGCCAAGGTCTGCATTCGCCCTCTTAGCCAGCCCATCGCTTCAGCCGGTTTCCACCATGGCCCCACGGCCCTAGCAGAGCCCCCACTTTCCAGAACACAGCCCCCACCCGTAAGTTAGAGCTGCATTCCTGGCTCCTAGCTGGAGCCTTTGGCTGCATTAAAATGCAGGTTGGCCAAGGGCGCCCAGCTTCCCCGGTGATCTGCACTGCTCTCGAGAACTGCCCTATCCCACCATTATCCACCACGGCACCAGTCTGGGCCTCAGCTCCAAACTTCACCCCCAGGGATTTTATATTTTCTTCCACACCACTGACAAAGACTGAATAGCTTTGGGTCAAGAAGAGATCCCCGTGGGACCCTTCTAGAAACACTCTGTATTGGACTCGGCCTCTGGCCTCATCGTGGTTTCAAGGCAGGGTGTACAGCATCCTCTGGGTTTTGCACGTGCACATTCCTAGTTAATAAGTTGACTCATTTACATTTCTGACTAGCTCCTGGATGGTGGCTGATACCCTTGGTGACTGCAGCAGGCTGTGTATGCTGGTCCAGGCCAGTAAGGATGTGCAGTTGCCTGAGGGAATTGGGTGGGAAGGGCTCATATTGGGGGCTTCTTGTCTTGTTTCAAGAAATCCCCTTGGAAGGGCCTCAGGACTACTGTGTGAGGAGCTGAGGAGGAAATGGCAGTTCCGCTGCCACACTGAGCTGCATGGCTATAAACCCTGACACTCCCCTCTCCTTCCTCTGCTGCATGGGGCATGGGGCACTTGCAGGTTTAAACTAGTGTAAATGGTGGATTCTTTGTAACTTGAATCTTCAAATGGCGATTGGAGGACGTCAGTAACTCAGCCAGAGAGCAGGGGTCTGTTACAGGAGAGGGTGGATGAGGCTCTGTGGCCTGTGATGTACAGGAGGACAGACCAGATGATCATGGTGGTCCCTTCTGGCCTTAAAGTCTATGAGTCTTTGGGTTCCGGTTCCTGTGGAAGCCCCTGTGCTGGAAGTTAGCCCCTGCTCTTTATGCCACATGGCATGTGTCTGGGGGTCAGTTTGGTTTGCTCAGATGGTCTTTCCAGGACTGGGCCTGCTCAGACATTCCCACGGCCACACACAGCGCACCAGTTCCCAGACCAGGCGGTGAGGTTTTCAAGTCTCAACCAAGCCCTGCACCCGGCAAGAGAGGCGAAGGCTGACAGCTTGGGAGAGAGCGTACTAAATCTCTGGGCGCCCCAGCCTCAGCGCAGCTCAAAGAACTCGGAGAGGCTTTCAGGGAGCACAGGGGCTACTCACATATGCACTGGGCACCTCATGCTTCCTGGTTTCACACTCAGTAATTTTACTGAGACCAGGCAGGGCCACACATTGAGCAGCTCTTCCCTCCTAGTGACCCTGTAGCCATGGGAAGGAGGAAGATGGAGCCCTCAGACTCACTTCCTTCTCTCAGGACAGCACAGACCACAGCGAGAGGTAGAGAGACGACTGCCCCAGTGCGGGGCACAGTTCAGATGTGCAGCCTGCAGTGTTGTTTCCAGGTTTGGAATAAGCTCACCCAGGGTCAGGGGATGGTCACGCTGGCCTGCTTGAGGCTCAGCTCGGACCCAAATGCAGAAGCTCGTGGGTTACGTAAGGAGTTCACAGAGAGGTTCCCACAGCTAAGCAAGCCTAGGGCCCCCCTGGTTAGCCCGGAGGGGCAGGGAATGACAGGGCGTGGGGCGCCATTCTCTGCCCCTTAGCCCAGTTATGGAAGAAGGTTAGCACTGCCACCAGGAAATCTCTGCTGAAAGGAATGAGGGTGCCCAAGTGGCAGAAGCTGAACAGTGCCACAAAACTCCAGATGGGTCATTCTCGCTCTCTGGTCTGTCTCTATCTCAGAGCAGAAGGAGTCACGTCTCTGTGTATCACAGGGGCTCTCTGACTGTCCTTCCCAACAGCCGGAGTCCTGGTCGGTGTCCCTGCAGGTCAGGGTCTCAGTGTCGTCGTTCCCCGCCCAGGGCTGCCATAGGGAGATCGCAGGCGGGCTGAAGGGAGCTAGGGCACTCTCTGCACTCTCTTGCTGGGTGCCTGGGCTCCACCCAGCCCTCCTCTGGGGACAGCTGAACTAGCTAAGTGGACTCTCTGAAGGCAGGCCACCCACTGCCACGGCCAATACAGGGCTTTCCCTACTCTAACCTGCTGTGTCTTTCTAGCCCCCGATGGAGGAGGATGGGCAGAGCCAGGGCCACCCAGCCCCCAGCTCCAAATGCCTCCACTGTTTCCCTGGCATTTCAAACTGCAAGATTAAACACAAGGAAAGTGTCAACCTGCAGCGTGGCTGGCAGGGCCGCTGGACACACACACTGAGCCTGGAGTGAAGCGAGGGCTACAGGAACAAGCAAGGGCAGAAAAACAAGAGGAGAATTCCTTAATCACATCAGGATGTGAGAGGCAGGGAGGGAGGGGGTGCGAATGTCAGCTCTTCCTGTGCGTGTGCTGGAGGCTGGAGTTCAGGCCTCTGCCGCCCTGAGCTCCACGGCTGTAAACTTGATCCTGAGCCTGAACCCTGACACCCCCTCGCCAGGCTCCCGCGCTGCACACTAGGAGAGCTCTTCCCCCTTTACGGATGGAACAGCAGCATCTGGAACTCATAGCAGTGAGCAAGACACAGGCACATGGGTGGGACTGGCAGGAAGGGGCACCAGCAAAGTAGACTCGAGAGACCATTCCCCTCCCCCCGCCCCAGTGCAGAATGCACACACAGCCACCCTGGCTATAAATAGTGGGAGCTGCAGGGCCGGCAGGGGCTGGGCCCCACAGGGGTGACCCTTCCTTCGCCGAGGCGCGCTCTTCCCGCACGGTACCTGATCTTCCAGTTGTTTTCCCTCTTGGCTTCCCATTTCCTTTCCCATGGCGTCTGGGACGGGTGCCACTGACACATATTTTCCACCCTTGAATGCCAGCAAAGGCTCTTCTTGTCCACAAAGGGCTTCCAGGAAATACTTCAGAACTGTGACCCTCTTGCAGTCAGCTGCAATAACCTACAGGGTGAGGACGAGGGGGTCGGGGAGAGAAAGAAAAACAGAGTCAGTGCCCAGGGAAGGCAGAGAGCAGCGGTGGTCAGCCACTGACCAAAGGGAAACCTCGGAGCCTGGGGCCCAGCTGCTGCGAGCAGTGCCGATGCATATGGCAGGACCAAGTGAGCACCTGGGAGAGGACAGTTCCTCAGCCCCCTTTGGTTCGATGCCCAGCTCCAGTGTCTGGCCCTTGAGCTCGTGGCCCAGGGGCAGGGAGAACTGGGGCAGGCTAATGCGAGCACAGGCACCGACACCTCTCACAAAATGGTTTGTGCACTGCAGACAGGGGCCACCTCCCCAGCCTCTCCCCTGGAGCCCGCTCCTGGGTCAGAGCTGAAGGAAAGGCCTCCCACCCCCAGGCAGAATTCCCACCCAAGAGCTGGAAACCTGCTCAAGTGGGAGACGAATGAGGAGGACTGTCCTGGCTGTTTCATTTCAGCTAAATCAACAGGAGCCCCCGACAGCCTCCACGATGGAAGCAGGAGGGTTCAGGTGGACAGCTGTCAGGGGAAGGACACAGGTGCTGAGACCCAGCAAGTGGGGGCATTTTACAAAAGCCACGCACCTCCCGGACTCCATTGCTGCCTCAGCCCATGAGCTCATCTCACAAAATAACCAGGGAGCATGTCAGGGCTGAGCTAGCCAGGATGCAATTCAATAGCGTGGGTAATTATCAAATGTATGAGACTCTCAGATGGAGTTTCCAGAGCACCAGAGCCTGGAACGCTCCCCCCTGCTGCCACAAGCCCCCCAGCCCTGCACCAGACCCTCTGCCTGGGCTCCAAGCCCCAGACCATGGGCAGATCAGAATCCCTTCCCCTGCTAGTGAGCAGAGCACTGCGCCTGTACCCTTTCTGCCTGCTGCTTTCCCTGGGACACCAGCCTGGGACAGCCGAACCCTTGGTGACGGTTTGTCCTGTCCACTGCAAACCGGGGCCCCAAGTGCTACAAACCTGTGATGGCCAAGCTCACAGCAACGAGTTACCCTTGTGCCCTGCTCTCTCATGCTCACTGGACTTCTTTTTGTACCAGTCTCACATGGACTTTGGTTCTGGCTTCACTGGAAGCAGTGCCCAGATTCTGCTCCGCAAGTCAGAAGGCCCCAGCCTGCTCCCCACTCATGGACCCCAGAACCAGGCAGCTCATTTATGGGTTCTAGCTGATTTCTCTCCAGTGCGACCACAGTGAACCTGAGTGCCCAGCACCCACCGGGAGGGCACAAGGATCAGACAGCAGGAAGCAGGGGCAGCACCCCACACAATGGGAGAGCAACTGGGAGGCTCAACACACAGTGTGGGCATGGGGAAGAGATGGGGCAGCAGTGCAGTGCATCAGGATCCCATGTTGCTCTGGGATACACTGCGTACCCCAAAGACGTGCAGTGTGGAGAGCAGAAATACAGAAACAGGGCTGAGATAGCACGAGGGGCCAGGCGACAGTGAGTAATGGGCTGGCAGGCGGCACGCAGCGTGCCCCCCCACCACACACACCAGGCTGCAGCGCAGAGGAAGCTTCTGCACTTCCACAATGCTGCCAGTTTCCTCTCTGTGGGCTAATTTTAACCACCTTGTTGTTACAGTGTGTGTCAGCCACCTGACCCCGCTGTGACCCCTGACCTTGTGCCCCCGCTACTGCATGAACTAGGGAGCCTTATGTAACAAGAGCAGGGCTTTCCTCGGCGTCTGAAGCAGCCCAGAATTAAAGGGCCCATCAGTCAGACGCCCTCTCCTCCGAGTCAATCACACAGACATTGCTAATTGCCGCAAGCCGGCAGGCATAAGAAACCTGCCTGACTCCCCTGGGCAGAGGCCTCTGCGGGTGGTGGTGGTGGGCTGCCAGAAGGGAAAATGGAAAGGATAAAGCCCCAGATTCTCAGAGATACTCCCACGGATTTCAGTGGGAGTTAGGTACCTAAAGACCTTGGAGGATCTGAGCCTAACTGTCTTCAGTTTAGCTAAAGAATGATCTGTGGTAGAAGGGGACCCGATAGTGAAGAAGAGAGTGGCACAAGAGGGAATGGTGTCAAACTAAGAGAACGGAAATGTTGTCTGAACATCAGGAAAACTGTCAGGAATGTTGAAACTATTGTAAAGAACAGAATTACCAGACACACACATGAACACAATTTGTTGGGGAAGAGTCAACATGGTTTGTGTAAAGGGAAATCATCCCTCACCAATCTACTAGAATTGTTTGAGGGGGTCAACAAACATGAGCACAAGGGGATCCAGTGGATAGAGTGTACTTTGATTTTCAGAAAGCTTTTGACAAAGTCCCTCACTAAAGGCTCTTAAGCAAAGTAAGCTGCCATGGGATAGGAGGGAAGGTTCTCTCATGGATTAGTAACTGGTTAAAAGATAGGAAACAAAGGGTAGGAATAAATGGTCAGTTTTCAGAATGGCGAGGTAAATAGTGGTGTCTCCCAGGGGTCTGTACTGGGACCAGTCCTATTCAACATATTTATAAATGATCTGGAAAAAGGGGTAAACAGTGAGGTGGCAAAATTTGCAGACGATACAAAATTACTCAAGCTAGTTAAGTCCAAAGCTGACTGTGAAGAGTTACAAAAGCATCTCACAAAACCGGGTGACTGGGCAATAAAATGGCAGATGAAATTCAGTGTTGATAAATGCAAAGTGATGCACGTTGGAAAACATAATCCGAACTATACATATAAAATAATGGGGTCTAAATTAGCTATTACCACTCAAGAAGGAAATTTTGGAGTCGCTGATAGTTCTCTGAAAACATCCACTCAATGTGCAGCGGCAGTCAAAAAAGCGAACAGAAGGTTGGGAATCATAAGAAAGGGATAGATAAGACAGAAAATATCATATTGCCTCTATATAAATCCATGGTTCGCCCACATCTTGAATACTGTGGGCAGATCTGGTTGCCCCATCTCAAAAAAGATGTATTGGAATTGGAAAAGGTTCAGATAAGGGCAACAAATATGATTGGGGTATGGAACGGCTGCCATATCAGGAGAGAATAAAAAGACTGGACTTTTCAGCTTGGAAAAGAGACGACTAATGGGGGATATGATAGAGGTCTATAAAATCTTGACTGGTGTGGATAAAGTGAATCAGGAAGTGTTATTTACTCCTCCACCTAACATAAGAACCAGGGGTCACCCTATGAAATCAATAGGCAGCAGGTTTAAAACAAACAAAAGGAAGCATTTATTCACACAATGCACAGTCAACGTGTGGAACTCATTGCCAGAGGATGTTGTGAAGGCCAAAACCATAACAGCCTTCAACAAATAATTAGGTAAGTTCCTGGAGGATAGGTCCATCAGTGGCTATTAGCCAGGATGGGCAGGAATGCAACCCCATGCTGAGTGTCCCTAGCCTCTGTTTGCAAGAAGCCGGGAGTGGACGACAGGGGATGGATCACTCAGATGACTGCCTGTTCTGTTCACTCCCTCTGGCACTGGCATGGAAGACAGGATACTGGTCTTGATGGACCATTGCTATGATCCAATATGGCCATTCTTATGATCTAGGCTGGGTTTTGTCTCCCAAGGGAAAAGTGGGCACTTCACTGCTTGGAACACCCCTAAATCTAGACTGGACACCCTGGAATATGTCCTGGAGGCAACACCACTGCCCCCACCGGCCATCCCTAATGAATTGTTCTGTGGAGGAGCAAAGCTGGAAGGAACAAAGAACGATACAGCTAGGCTGAATATCAAGGGAACTTCCTACCTATGAGAGCTACCAGGCTGTGGAGATGTTGGGGAAATGGGAAAGCCCCTTGCTTGGTCACTGCAAACTAGACTCACCAAGTCCCTGGTGCCTAGGCTCTTGGCCCAGTCCTGCCTTGGCTCAGAGCAGATGGCTTCAGTGACAGGACTTTTCCAGCTCTAACGTCAGCAGTTCTATGGGGCCCAGGTTGCTGTGTAAATGAAACCATGCATGCCCATCTCCAGCAGCTCAGCACAGCTAGGCGAATACTTGGGTGTGGTGGGGCCTGGGCTTGCACGCGTGTGTGGGAGTGACGGGGTTGGGTGAGTGGGTGCTGCTGGGGCACAAAGCATTGGGGCTCCCCATGTCACCCACAGAGGAAGGACTCACAGGCCTGCAAAGAGCTTGCTGGGGACACCTCTCTGGTCACTAGCAGCACGAGGTGGAGTCCCTAGTTGGTCACTCAAGGTCTAGCACACAAGCAGATGATGGCAGGAATACAGCTCAGGGCAGGAGCTGGGATTGGCGTGAGGGGCCCAGGCTGGCTAAGCAGCTGGCATCAGGTCTGCAGCCATTCCTGAGGGGATTTTTGGGCGGCACCTCCGACATTAACGGCAATTGTGCCTGCCTCTTCTGCCTTGTTTATGATCCCAGAGGCTTTATTCAGCAGCTACACCAACAGGCCTCAGTGCCGCCCCAGCTCCTGCAATGTGACCACTGGGACGCATTCCTAGCCTACCTTGAGATAGGCTTTCCCCTAACCAGCCCTCATACACCTGAGGGAGAAGAGGCTGGGCGTAAACAGGAGGGACCAGGATTAAACTGCAAAATCCCCCACGAAGCTGGGGAGCTTCAGCCTGGAGAGTGACCAGCGATGTTGCAGAAAAGCCCTCCCCCACGGCGGGGGGGAGGGGGCGCAACTAGGCATGTCCTCTTACCCCTCCCTGAAAAAAAATCCAGCTAGGAAGCAAATGATTTCCTGCCAGGCTAACACAGGCTGAAAGTGTTTTAAGTCAGCTCCTCTGCTCAGGGAGAAGGGCCCAGCTGACGGACTGTGACATAATCCCCCAGTAACTTGCCTCATGAACACAGTTTTCCAGGCTGCATCAATAAAAGAGAAAAAAGCAAATCACCTCAGCACCCCCATCACGTGAACACCCAGCAGCCCAGGGCTGGGCTTTCCTGGAGCTCGGCTGGCCCCAGGTCAGGATGGCCCCAGGAATGGTGGCCTCTCTGACATGGTCTGAGCAGGCTGCCCCTGACTCACACCAGGGT